GTTCACGTATAACACTGCATAAACTTTCCGTTGTACGTTCAGTTTTAAATGAATATTCCTGTGATCGATCAGTATTATTTGTATAAATTGATTTGAATAAGGTAAATGGACGTGCTCCATGACAATTCAATTGTGAATATTGTGGCTCCTCATGTTTTACAATCAATTTACGTCGATTCTATAAATTGGTTTAATTTAAAAGATAAAACAAATAAATGTAATTTTAAAAAGCAAATGATTACAAATTAATTAAATTAAATTATAAATGAATTGTATCGAAATACTAAAAATAATTATCAGAATATTAAGAATAAATCCAAAGCAATGGTACATGTAAAGTAATTATTTGATAAGGTAATAGAAATCAAGGTATATTAGAAATTTAGGTATATTAGAAGCTAAGATATATTACAAATCTAGGTAAAGTAGTTATTTGATAAGGTACTAAAAATCTAGATATATTAGAAATCTAGGTAAACTAGTTATTTGATAAGATACCAGAAATCTAGATGTATTGGAAATCTAAGTATATTAAAAGTCAAGGTATATTAGAAATCAAAATGTATTAGAAATCAAGGTACATTAGAAATCTAGGTATATTAGAAATCTAAACTAGTTATTTGGCAAGGTAGTAGAAATCTAGGTATATTAGAAGTCAAGGTACATTAGAAATTAAGGTATATTAGAAATCAAGGTACATTAGAAATCTAGGTATATTAGAAATCAAGGTATATTTTATTTTACTAATTACTAATTACAGCATTAATAGATGATGGAAGAAAATAGATTATCTCAGATATAAATAAGTTTTCATTAATATCCGATCAATAATACATTTGTTATTGTTGTAATTTTGCAACTGTTGAATAGATGAATGAATGAGTGGCAGGAAGAATGATAAGGTAATGTGATATATTTGTTTGTTTATCAATGACTGATAATTTTAATCTTATTAATGACTCATTGAATGAAATGTAATTAAAATGGGATAGTATGATAGCTTTATTTACGTAATATTTTGTTATCAAATGTAAGATTATATTTTATGACATTTGATAATGTTATATTTAGCATAAATTAATTAGTAAATAAATAAATTATCCAATTCCATGATAATGTTTAAATTTTATTGATTGCTTTTGTTTGAGGAAACAAATTTTCTATCATATGACAGAAATTAAATTATATCACTGCCATTTGTTGTGTGGTAAAATTTTAAAAATAATCCAATAGTATTTAAAATTTTAATAAATTTTTTCGGATTAAAAAATTTAATTTGAAAAATTGTGATATATGATAAGATATATGTGAATAAATTTTGTAAATTCTATTAAATTTTGATATTTTTCAGGTATTATTTTTGAATGCAAATTTTGAGTAATTAAATGAAATTATGAATATTTTTGATAGGAAAAAAAGTGTTTTTTGCTGATTTGATAAAATTTTCATCATCTATTATCATTTCACAGAGTCGACTTTATCACTCTGATTACTTTTTAGCGATGAATTTTATCACTATTATCTCTTTTCAGAGTCGATTTTATCACTCTGATTGCTTTTTAGCAATGGATTTTATCACTATTGTCTTCTTGCCAAAATTAGTTTTATTACTGTTATCACTTTTTAGTACTGATAATGTCATTTTAATAGGAAGTGTTGGTTTTTTTTTTTCGGATTCTCGAGAATTATCCGTAAGTGATAATTTTCCAATGAAAACTAATAATCGTTAAGTAATCTTATAGAGATTTAGGAGAAAAGATGATTGATTATTGAGAATTAGGAAGGATGAAGGAAAAAAAAAAAAGTGGAAGAAAGGAAACTTGAGAGTAGTTGTCGCGAAATGCTAAAATGATGCTAATTGAGTTCTAAACCC